AATATATATATATACACATATATATATATATATATATATATAAATATTTGTTATTTTGCTCTGATGAGTGAATGAATCTCGTGATTTCATAACTTGTTATAAATATTTAATGCAATTATTGCTATCAATCCAAATAATATTACCACTATTAAGATTCTTTTTGATAAGAAATTACTATTGTAAGTAACTATAATATGTAATAGTGTACAAATATATAAGTTTTACTTATATTTTTTTTTATATAATACGAACACAGGTGATATTTATGTTTATTTAAGGTCATCATACCTACAAAAATTTTAGTGAATCAAATTATAAGGTGTCAAGCAATTTTACTAATCACAATCAAAATTGCGATCTTATGTTTTCAAATGCTTGACTGTGATTGACCGATTTGTTTACAGCCTTACGATTACGATCAAAATTTTTATACGTGTAATGGTCTTTACTCTGAGTTCTCTGTATTTTAAATTGTAATAGTGTTAATAGTGATATGGTAGTAGTGTGTATAAAAAAGTATACTAAATGTACCAGCAGTGAACAGAAATGACTTGATTTAGATATCGTGAGTAGATTTGCGAGTTTTTTTTTGGGCTATACTTTCTTTTTAGTAATTGGTTAATCATTGAATTATATGAAAAGACTCAGTGCAAAGACAGTTTAATCTCACCTGACTAGAACAGACATTCTTGTTCTCAGTTGTACATTTAGTTCATTGTATTTTTATTTGTTCTATTATTATTTTTGATAGTACAGCGTACATAATGCTTTACTTAAATAAATCACCTTTGTTGCTATCTAATTAAGTATAGTATAAGTAATTCAAAAGTATTTTTGTACTAAGTAATAATATACATATTTTTGTAATTTTTACATGATGACATAAGATATATAAATAAGCATAAAATGCCAGAATATATTTTATGTTAAAACACATATTAAAATATATTTTGTAAAAAAAGATCCGTGATTATCACTTATAACAAATATTCCGAGTATTTCCCGAGAAGGTTTTTATTAAATGTTCTTTTTTTTTTAACGAATGAAAAAATATTAAAATTTATTAAAATTTACATCGAGCTACTTTCTTATAATGTAATCCTAAAACGCTACTGAATAATACAGTATTGCTATCAAAACGAAAATTTTACAAAGAAATAGGTCACTTTTAATTCATGTAATATGTACATGTACAAGTTTCTCATGCACTTTTAATGACAAAATATTGATAATTTAGATTTATAAACATAAAGAATCTAATTATTAATTTAAAAGGGAAGAAGAAATAAGTATATTATCATATAGTCTTAAAATGATTTAAAATGGAGATCTTAAAATGTAATCGTATTTTGATTGTGTTCCAAAATTTACTGTTAGTATTGAAAATTTATAGTTCATATTACGTGCATTATACATTTTTAATACTGCCAGTAAATTTGGAAAACAGAGCGCAAGCGCGTGTGTGTATATCTTCTTACGTAATACTTAAATAAAATATATATAACACAACCTGCTTAAAAGTTAAAATAACTTATGTTTCTTCCTGTAATACTAAAATAAGGGTCCAAACTGGAGTTGTTACCTTCGAAGATTCGATGCTTAGAAAGAATACAAATCTTCGAAAGTTGAAATTTAAAGTGTCTTCGAAGTTTATATATACTTCTAGGCTTTAAAAAATATACTTGTACAAATAGAAAAAAATATATTTGTAATATATAGATATTTTTTTATAGATATATTTTAAAATGAAAATACATAGATACTTATAGGTCTATTTTTAAATGAAAATACACTTGTTACTATTAACCTGTAATTCACACCTTTGGGCCATTCGTTCTGCGCATTTCTTTTCTTTGAAATACTATGAGCATTTGGTCAAATATCGGGCTTTTTTATTTCTAAAGAAAGTTTGGCATCTAGAGAACAAGTTTTGTGCATTGCTGGCCTCAATTCGTGCGTACCCTTTAACTGGCATAATTCTGAGTTCACCTCTGGATTACAACTGATCCAACGTGTATACAGAGTGTATATTTTTTGTAATAAAAAATTTTTTATTTTTTTCCTTTATTTTCAACCAATTCTCGGTTGTATTGAGGGAATATTTCGCGAATTATTAAAAAAAGAATTTAATCTTAGAACAACATTAATAAACACAATTTTTGGTACCCTTGTGCTAAATGTTGTCAGTAATATATATTATGTTGTCTGTAATGTTATAAAGAACATTTCCTTAATAAATTATAAGTTTTTTTAACACAATAGCAATAATAAAATGCATTGTTTAAAATGTAAGTGTAATATATCTTCAATTTATGGCCATTCACGTATATTAAGAAAATATTATTTTTAGGTTACTCAATAATTAAACTTTTTGGACAGCTGATCTAGTTTTTGTTTGTAGTTTGAAATATCAATTTTAAGATATGAACTATATTTTTCTTTTAAACATTTTTATTCTAGAATTTTACATTTTTATATAAAACAGTGCATTTTTCTTATTTTGTTAATTATATTTAGTTATAATAATTTATCTGCAATTTGTTATGAATATATAACTGTACAAATACTTTCTAAAGGTGTCAAAATATGTATAAAAATTGTTTAATAATTTATATATACTTGCAAAAGTGATGAAAATTAATCCAGGACACAAATAACCGAACCTATATAGTAGGGGAGAACGTATATAGTACTTGGCACTTTTTAGGAAAATTTTAAATAAAATGCAATTATAAAGAAAATACCAAGATTATATTTTATATAACTTATGTTCTTAGCTATAGATTTGCATTTAAAGTTTAGGCCAGAGCTAAGACTATGATGGAAAATAATAAAAAATGAAAAATAGGAAAAGTGCCCATCCCTCCCTACGTGCGGAAGGCTTGAACATTTTTCGTATAATATCTACAGATATATTACGACGATCTGTTTTCTTTTTATATTTAAATGGCATGGTAATCCTGTGAATAAAAACCAAAAATTATGACAGTGACTGAAACATAGAGAGCTTCTCACGTTAAACTTAGCGGTCTGTTAGCGTTGCTTGAAATCTTCAAAAACTTCTGCATTTAAAATAGATAAGTATATATTCGGGCGTTGAAGAAAAGAAAGCAAAGATATTGAGTGCAAAAAGTGCAAGCAACGCGACAGACCTAGGTTTGGGCATGCTCGAATCTCCCTAACCAACTAATGGCCAAAGCTCTCAACCACTACATTGTTAAATAAATGATCGTTCAAGTTTTTTTAGCTTAAAGAAACACGTCCGAAAATTAGCTCACGTTATAAGTAAAACACCCACCTTTTATTGTCACAATATAATTTTGTATAAATGCAAAGTAATAATAATGGAATTAGACAGAAACAAACACAAAATAGTTACTTTTCGATATTCGAATTGTAAAACAGCACAGGTACACAAACGTTATCACGCGTTGCACTGTGATGTCACTTATCAGTGTTGCCATCATGACAGCTACAAATAGTCACAGTGGCATTTTCCTAAACTTTATTAACGTCGGAAGATTTTAAAGATAGTGTCCAATCCTCCCGACTGCCCAAAGGTCCTCATGAGACCCCTAAATTCAACAAATAATTTAAATATAATTTTATATTTATTCATGGTGTAAGATGTTATCCCTTCCACCATGTATTTATCTCATGGAGAACACAAATTAATGAGAAATCTCAAAAGCTTTGAAAATATTGCTGAACAAAATTTGGAAATTAGATTTTTAATGAGTAATATTTATAGATGTTCTCAGTAAAAAGTTTTTTCTTTCAAAGATAGGATATAGATATCTCGCGATTTTATTCTCGATATCTCGATATATCTTCAACATGACGTCCAGCACTCAGCAGACGATTGTAATCGAGGCACAGCGATTTCGGGGCTCGACGACGTTTTGCAATCTTTTATTTAAATTTTCACGTTTGAAATCGAATTTTCTACCGTGAAACAATGGCCGAGGGCGAACAAAAGCTTACGGGCTTGGCAAAACATTTTAATAGTCAAACAAATTATGGTCGGAGGAATGTAAGTAACTTAACCTCAAAATTTTGACGTCGCTTGTAGACCAGGATCTCGACAAGTCTTTTTATTTACATACGAATGGATTTTCAAGTGTCTTATTTTCTAGGTGACGGTTGCAACTTACGCTGGTATAGGAGTGATTGCCTTGTACTTCTTCGTGAGATCAAAGACTAAAAAGACATAACTTATAGAATTGCAGTCGCATTATGTAATAACGATACATGTGCGGTATCATAATATTCTTTAAATAAATGTAGTCGAAATATCTTTTCGCAAATTTATCTTATTCTTAGTGCTTGTTCCAGTCAGTCTCTAACTGTTTAATGACCACAGATAATTATTTGCTAAAAACATATGTGTCATTTAATAATCGCGTTTAATCAAGAAATTGATTTTACGTTTGTTATTTATTTTATTGAAATCGTAATAATAATATGTTAGCAAAGGAGAGATTATTAAATAGAATACATTTAATTCTTCTTCGCATATCGAATATTTCTTATTGTATGTTTACTCTGTTCTTGTAATATTTTAAAAGCTGTGATTTTTTTATTGATCCTTCTTTTCTTCTATAAAATGTAATTTCCTGTCATGCCTTGTTTAATGTTTTAAAAAACTGCATAGTTAATTCTTGATATTATAAGCGCAAAGACTTTGTAATAATCATTTTTCATGTTGGAACCTCAGTGTGTTATATGAATTAACATCATGTTATGAGGGATTGAATAAATGTAACTCTTGCATTGATTGTGCGAATTTATTTTATGTACAATAAAATTGATTTAAAGCATAATTGAATGATAAAGAGGATATACGTTTACATGAGTGGCGAAATATGTTTCTAACTTATAGATTATAAAGAGAGCTATACTAGCGAGTTACATGAAAATATATTTATATGATATGCTTTGGCAGCATAATGGAATAGAAGTATTGGCTGGAGTAGAAGCTTAATTTGAGGATTATGGTTCTTTTACACAATAAAGAAAATTTATAAATATATTTTACTTTTTATTTAAGTGCTAAATATTTCAATTTTCATTAATTTTATTAAACATTATTAGATATATAAAGAAAAAACATAAGAATATATAAGTATTTTGATAATTTTTAAATCAAATTTTGGAATCAATTTTACATTAATGTCTTTCATCTTCTTTAATTAAAAATAGACAAATGTCAGTACTGTTTTTTCTAGTCAATGTTCACTATTATTTGATGATTCCTATCATATTTACAAGAATGTCGAGACAGCAGTAAGATATGATAAATAGTAAGATGGGCTTAGCATATGTACATGTCGTTGTATATATTAAATACATGAGTATACATATTTATAATGAGCTCAAATATTATAGAAATTCTGTGACTAGAATGGCGAATCTCTTTTATCGTATAATTACGAGAGCGTTTTGTTTCCCTCTGTACTTAAATCTAATTTCTTCCCTTCTTCTTACAGATAAGAATATGTTCGGGAATCGTTAAATTTAAACTTACAGTATTTTTTATCTTATACATATTATCCGAAAACTAAATTAGGAATTAAACAGTTTATCACTAGCTGATGTTTATTGATGTTTTATCAAATAAAAAATATAGCTATAAATAAATAATTTTTGCAATAGAAGAAAAAGGTCAGTAGATACTATTTTGTAAATTTGTAGATAGAAATATATTTATAATTCTTATATTAATATCTAGTTTTTTAACGATTTTCTTTAAAATATATCTATATATTTTTGCTTGCTCTTATGAGATGAACATCATTTTTTTCAATGAATATATTATTTTACATGCTATTCGTGAAATTTAGATTAAAAGACACTTATAATTATTGTTAATAAGAGTACATTTTGATTTGACTATAGTTATGGCGTTTCTCAGCGCATCCATTCTTTCCATTCTATCTTAAAATATCATTTTTTATTTTAAATCTCTACACACGAATAAAAGAAAATATGCGCAGTATACACACACACACACACACACACACACACACACACACACACACACACACACACACGTGTGTGTGTGTGTGTGTGCGCGCGCGCGCGCGTGTATACATATATATCAATTTTTCGTTTTGTGTGAAAATAAAGATTTAAAAATGCTGTAAGTTTACTATAAGAAACATACTGGAAATTAATTTTATATTTCATTACTTATATTGAATTAGCCATCTAAATCACTCTGAATATCAAACTATGCTTGAGAAATACGAAAAATTATGAAATTATTTACATATCTATTATTCCAATTAGGTTTTTTTTTTAAATTGCATTAGCAGCAATGATCTTGTGATTCCAATAATGATAATAGGCAATCTTTTTTCGTCAGTTGACGAATGTTAGTTGGGGTTGATCAGTATGCAAGTTTCAAAGAGTAATAGTCCAAGAATGCAAGTTACAGAATTCTCTATAGCCAGGACAAAAGTTCTCCCCGAGGAAATGTCACATTATTGGGTTCTTCTGACTTTGAAATTCGATTTATTTTCTTCGGAGAGCTTAGTACGTGACTGACATGCCGGAAGTTCGCGAAACCTACTCAGTCAGAGTTAGCAGATTACTTTAAACATTTTTTTAAGGTAACACTGCAGGAGTGTAATATTTTTCGAGTAAAGTTTACCTTCTGATCTTAATAGCTTTTTATTGACCTGGCATACAAGATTTTTTATTGTATTCATAAGTTTTTGAATTTTTTCATAAAATATAAAGAATACTTAAATAGAACATACTTTTAAAATTTAAAACAACGGAAAACTTAAATTAAATAAAAATGATTACTATAAAGCACGTATATTTAAAAGTATTTCAAGACTGAAAATTAAAAGATTTTACTAAATTAAAATATCTTATAAGATAAAAAGAAATCTTATCCTTTAATTGATTAATTTTTTTTTGTTTTTGAACATCTGTATGGTTCAGAGAAGATAAAATAAAACCTTAAGAAAATATTGGGTTGAAGAAAAAGTTCTGCGGAATTTTGTTAGCTTAAAATTATATACAGAATATATTTGTTGCGAAATGTTCGACTATCTGATGTGAAAGTTTAGTTTTTCCTAAAAGTTTGTTTTTAAAAAATGTTCCTATGACTTTTTGTTACCAAATTACACGTGGATTAAATAAAAGAACATTTTTTGATTACTCATAACTCCGTTAAAAATCGTTGTATCGTAATTAATAAAACAGATTTTTAAAGCTGAAACGTTACTCTATCAAGTGGTGTAATTGCTAATTTAAAAAAAAATAGAATACATTTATGTTAAAAATGTGATATTACTATTCTTTTTCCATTGTGCAATGATTATAAGAATAATAATATCACATTTTTAACGCAAATTTCTATATATTTTACATTAAAAAAATTAGCATGATATTTATTCGATAGAGCAACATTTCAGATTCTTTAAGAATCATTTTTTTAATTGCAGTACGATGATTTTTAATGTAGGTATGAGCAATCAAAGTCAGAATGCTCCTTTTTATTTAACTCGCGAATAACTCAGGAACAAAAAATTGTAGAAATATTAAAAAAAAAACGATTTTGTAAGGAAAACTCCCCTTTCACGATATAGATAGTCGAAAAATTTCACAAATTTTTTTTGATACGTGATAGACTCACACAGTGAGAAGAAAAATTTTTCTTTTATTCAGCTCGTAGTTTCATATGTATAAAAATTACAAAACTTACATAAATTCAAAAAATATAGTAACCATTCGAAAGTAGAGATTTCAAGCTTTTGAAACCCTTTTTTTTAAATTTAAATTTTTGATTATTTTTAACGAATATGTGGTATATATAATTTTGAGTTAAAATACCGCAGAACTTTTCTTTCAACCCCATACGTATTATGTTCCTGACACGTACTCTAAAATTCTTATCAAAAGTATAAATAGTCTATTTTTATTACATTCGATGTGAAACATAGCTATAAATTGTTCATATCATTCTTTTTACTTCTTTTGTGTCAATAGGTAAGATAAGATTTGATGTTATGAGAGAGAAATATCGTTTTTATAAATTTAATAGAGATTCTCGTTTTCTTATGAGAGGCTCCTTATTCTAAATATATCCTTATTCTAAATATATTTACATGTACTTATGTATTCACAACATTCTTTAAATTTATTAGATATTTAATACAATCTTTTAATTGTCGAGATATTGAATTAATATTAAAACTTAAAAGTTTGTGAAAGATAAAATTCAAGATTCTTAAAACAAAAAAGTTTCAAATTTTCTTCAATTGTGAGGGAAATATATTATTTTATATTTGGAACTGTGATGCATATTTCTATTTTTTAATTATTATTTCCATTGCAAATTTAAGGATTCAAGATCAATTTTGATGGGATATTTTGTTTGATACTTGACATTTTTTGTCACAAAAAGGGAAAATTTCTTATTATACAATAATTAATGAATTAAATATAATTATTAGATTATTTAATTTAATAATTATATTTAATTCATTAATTTATATTATAATCTATTAAGCCAATATCGCTTTGCGTCTTTTATGAACAATAAGAAAATTCATGTTCGGTGATTACGGAAGCATGAATGAATCAATGTAATCGCGTGACCGCTTAAGATATTTAAAATGGAAATTGATATCGGCGACATTAAGACCGATATTCACAATTGATTCTTATATTTAATCCTTCGGTTTACTATATATTTTGTTATGTATATATATGCACTGGATATTTTGTAAAAATATCGTATACAAATTATATGAACATATAAAATTCATTATACCTTATCCATTTTTTTTTTTAATGAAACGTCAGATATTAAGGTATATAACAGTAACAAGCAAATGTATCTTTAATAATATAAAATTTATAGCTGCATATAAACTATTGTAAAAGGAACAGTCGGGTATGTCACCAGTACTAGAAGGTTTAAGATGTCATAAGTCAATCACAAAATTGTATTAGCATTTTAAGGCATTACTTAAGACAGTCTAAAATAAGAACGAATTGTGATATCGGTCTTATTAAGATTATATATATATATAGTTTATTTCTTTCTTTAACATTCGACTAGATCGTCTTGAAGCAAGATGGTACTTTCGGAAAATCACTCTAAGGATCATCGTTGCAAGAAACTTGGCCTTTTTGAGTTCTTTCACGACAGGAAATACGAAAACTTATTCTTAACGATCCTTTTCTTTTATATCGAAGTTGGCGGACGGCTATGCCGTCCCGCAGGATTACAACATTCGAGCTTGAGGATTGGACTGAACTTTTCCTAAAGGTACAATAATATCGATTGTCCAATGCAGTGCTGAATCGTTCCCATCTTATTCTTATGTTTCTCTATCCGTTCTGGACATTGGAATTGTTAATGTAACTGCGAGGACGTATATAGAGGAAATGTTATAATATCGATTATTTTGCTGATTATACTTTTTCTATTTCCGTTCTTATTCTATTCTTTTTGGTTTATATAGATTGTCTTAATGCCCGGTTAAGATTCTCAACAGAATTCTTAATTGAATAATAAAAATATAAATTTTGATTAAAAAATTAAAATAATGAATAATCATATTGGTTGTTTTATTGTTTATTATTACGGTATAAAGTGGTCTATCTATTGTTCGTCTTGCTTCTTCCGAATGTTTTCTTGCTTCAGTTTCGACTAGATGATATTTTAAATAATCTAGGGAAAATATTAGATAATGTTGATTATCTTTTACATCGCTTTGGTCCTTTTTGACATCCTTTTAATATTTGACATTTTGAATGGAATAAAAATATCAATAGGATGTTTTAATTTTAATAACATTTTGTATCACTTATCAAATAATATATCAGAAAATGTAGCGAGTGATTATATAATAGTCATAGATTACAGCGTAAAGATGTCATTCTTCTTGTTCTATCAGTTCTAACTAAAAATTTCGGCAAACAATTGAGACACAGTTGATTTCTGGCAAGATAACAAATATAAAAAGACTGACATTTTGTTGTCCATTGGCATTGGAATTATCACATTCTACTCTTTTCACTTTTAATGAGTGAAAGTTCTTAACATTGATTAAAAACACTCGGCAAACTTCCAATTGTGTAATG